CGCGCCCGCCCACCCGCAGTCCTTACCCGGTTTTGACGAATTCTGCGCTTCCACGCATGCGCAGGACGCATACAGCGCCTGCGCGATCCTCCAGGAGCAGCTGGAGCATCGCACAGACGCTAGTGTGCATGCATGCGCCGCGCATGTGCACGAGGATGCTTCCGGCCCCGTTCCAACCGAACCGGTTGGAACGGGGCGAGAAACCCACCCCTGCGTGTCGGGGACGTCTGTGCTAGCCCGAGAGCTCTGCCAGCGAAAACAGGCTCCCGAGCTCCATTTTCGGCTGCGATCACCTCCTGCAACCTTCTGGCAATGAAAACGGAGCTTTCATTGGCAGAGAGTTGCAGAAGGCGATCGCAGCTGAAAACGGAGCTCGGGAGGGAAGTGTGGCTCTGTTTTCGGCTGTGACAGCCTCCTGCCAGCAAAAACAGAGCTGGGGAGGGCCACACACAGCCCACCTGATCTCTATTTTCGCTGTCAGAGGCACCCCAGGCTGGTCCTTCCCTGTTTCCAGGTCAACCCTCTGGGCCCCCGGATCTTGAGTTTGAGCCCCCCTGGTCTCATTTCTTTGAGCCTCTTATTCTAACCTCTCAAGACAACAACACACAAACTATAACTTGATGACAAAAGGATGTTGGGGACACAGATCAGAATTGCTATGCTTGCTTATGATTTTTCAGAAGGGGGGGGGGAAACCCACTGTGGAAAACAGTGTCTTGATATCTGGACTGGATGATGCAGTCGTGAGTTCTGGATCTCGTTCCAACCGGTACGGTTGGAACGTGCCTGCTGGCATCCACATGGATGTGCGCAGCGCACGCACACAGCACACACATGTGTTTTACCGCTTCTGTGAGCCTCTGCAACACTCCAGCTGCTCAGCAGAGCGCTGCACAGGTGCTGTACACCTTAAAAAACCAGTAAGGAGCTCGAGCGGGTGGGTGGGCCCTCCAGAGCACCGTACGAGAATGGCATCCAGTGCTCCGGGCAGACTCCGGTACGCCTGTACCGTGGTGTACCGCCTGCTGGGATGATCCCAATTGAAATAATCCTGAGAAAGGAATGCAGCTAAAAAGGAAAATCCTGAACCCACAAAGGCAGGCGAAAGAAATGAGCGTTCTGAGAAGGCCCACCTACAAATTGGCTGTGAAAAAATACACAGCAGATGGCAGCTGGAAACTTTCCCAGCATATTTTGCCATCTCGGAATTGACTGCTTGCTGAATCCCCCTGGGTCATATAAGCCTGGCCACCGTGGGTTTGAAGCTGCGGTACTTGAAGGGCAGAAGGAAGACAAACATCTCAGCTAAAAGGTTTATATCAGCACATCACCCAACCATGGCAACTTTAAGATATGTGGACTTCAACTCCCCCAATTCCCCCAGGCGGCAGAGATGGGTTCCTACCAGTTCACGCCTATTCGGTAGAACCGGTTCGTCAAATCTACCGAACTGGTTAGAAGAGGTTCCAGCAGTGGACCCGGAAAGCAGGCCACACCTACAGAAGAGGTTCCANTGGATGGATGGATGGATGGATAGTGCGGTGGCCTAGAGGTGGAGTTCTCACCTCACAATCAGGAGGCTGTGAGTTCGATCCTAGGTAGATATTTCTCTCTCTGGGCATGTTGAGACTATATCTGCTGAATATGATTCAGCATTGGTGGCACTCTGAACTCTGTTCAGTTACCCAGCAAGGGATTATGGGGTTGTTAAAATGAGATGATGATAGAGATAGATTAGGTGATAGATTAGGTAGATAGATGCGAGAGATTATATTTTTCAAGGAAATTAAAGGGTGGCATAAAAATCTGATAATAAGCATATTAAAAATTATCTTTTAAAAATCAATAGAAACTCATCTATTCACTATCCCATCCAATTCCATTAACTTATGAACAAACAATAAGATAATCCATGCGACATTTTTCCCCTCGTATATTCCTCTTTTCACTAATGAACCACTGAAATCTTTACCAAACCTGGCAAGGAGTGTTATGTTATATATGTTGCAATTGAATGCCCTAGACCAGTGGTTCCCAAACTTGGAGAATTCTGGGAGTTGAAGTCCACAAGTCTTAAAGTTGCCAAGTTTGGGAACCACTGGTCTAGACTAGAATAATAACAAGGCTGAAGAATTCAAATCTATGCCTTGATGGCTGAACTGCAATTTTCATCCGGCCACTGCTTCCGCTGAAGGAAAAAAAAAGTGTCGGCGCGTGTTTTGTTCTGTTAAATGTCCATAGTTTTTTGTTTTTTTTAACTGTGCTGTAATATATAAATGAACTGGAGCAAGACGTACAGTCTGCTCTTGACCTTCACGATCAGACAATTTCATTTCAAAACCACTCTTCCAAACTCCAGTAAGGATGAAATATGAGACAAGCCCAGATGAAATACTTCCATATCTTTTAAAACGCTCCTTCTCTGTCAGAAAAAAGCAGTTGCGGGATTAGTTTATGGTGGTGGTGGGGGGAGCCCAAGATTGGATACTGCCAAAATATTTTTTTTTTAAATAAAGGAAATCTAATTGTTAAGCGATAAACAGAACGAGGTAGCAATGGAGCAGCAGGTTAAACTCTGGAGTAGAGTAATAGAGATGAAGAGCTTCTAAAAGTCCTCCTCCAAAACCAGGGGTGGGTGGGTGGGTTTGTGTTACCAACACACAGAATCCCTGACAACTGACCCACGTGGAAAACAGCAGCGATCCCTCAGCAAAACATTTACTACAGTCTAGCTCAGGGGCGTCAAACTCAATTTCATCGAGAGCTGCATCAGGGCCGTGTATGTCAGGGGGGTGGGATGGTGGGCGTGGCCAGCTCGACTTCACTCGTGTCAGCAGGGGTGGGTTTCAACCGGTTTGCGGCGGTCCCTGCGAACCGGTTGGTCAGCAAACCCGGAAGTAAGTAACTTCCGGGAACGGC